AGACTATTTCTACTTTCAATTCAATGCTCCTACACATTTACTACATCGCCACAAGGAAAGCAAGAATAATTACTTTCAAAGCACAGATAGAACAACACCAATATGCACTAAAACCAAAAAATTCAACATACAAATGTGCTTTTGAAAACCAAAATTTCAAACCAAAATTATACTTATCTTCTCCAATAGTTTGCCTTGAGATTGCTCCACCCAACCACCATGCTTTCCATGTTGAACTTTTTACACAACAACAATCACAAATATACACTATTCACACTCCTAGATTTGCTTAGAACAATCCTAGGTTAACACTAAAATAATGGAGGAAAAATCCTTCAAACACTCTCTACTCCTAGAACACAAAACTCCCTAACTCTTTTTTAATCACTTCACTTCTTCTCATCCTCTTCTTCTTCTGGTTATTTCCCACTAAATTTTGTCTAAAATAATTCCAAAAACTGCCTTGAACCACTCTAGAACCGCTTGGAATAACTTTTTCTTAAGACAAAATGACAATTACCGCTCAAAAATTGATTTATATTTTTACTCATTTATTTAGAGCCAACAACGGTTAAGCGTGAGATTAAAATGTTAAAAGCTTACTTAGGCTATTAGGGCTGTCGAAGATCGACAATCGGCAAACATTTATCAATATTTTATCTCTGATATTATTTTCACTATAGCTATACCAACTCATTCACAAGCATATTTTGTTCATATTTTATCTACAAGTCTAAAGCTAGTGAATCATGCAGGGTTTGCGATTGGCTTTTCACTTGGAGACAAAATATAAAATAAATTTATTTTTGAGCTGGCTGGTGTAGCTACAACGACAGATACTATTAGAGGGAGACACCTTAATCAATTACAAGTCAATGTTCAACTGTTTAATAATCTTCAATAGAACTAACATATTAATATGTTAAGCAATCCAACATTGAGCTGAGATGATGTGGGTTCCAACCAAATAGCTTGACATCTACTAATTAATCACATCCTCATCTATATCATCATCACTTTAAACATGAGGCTTGAGATATCTAGAATGTTCACTCCTTTTAATTGATTTGATCACTTATAGTTACAACTCTGCCACTAGAGCTACTTCTACTAAAATTATATTTCAAGCATATAGTTCTAGATCTACTCAAACAAAGAACTTTAGAGTCCAGTATCGGTGTTCATAATTTAAGTTTTTTTCTAAACTCTTTCTCTATTCTTATCCACAAGAAGGATATCATGGACAAAAAGCATACACCAAGGTGCATCCTCATGTAAATGTCTAGTAAGACCATCCATAAATAGAAAAAAATAGATGTGTTTAAAGCCAATCCCTGATGTAATTAGGGCTGTTAACAATCTAATTTTCTAGTCGAGCTGGGGTCAACTCAAAATCTACTTGAAAATTTTGATAAAAAATTTTGGCTCATAGCTCAGTTCTTTTATTTCAACCTGATCACGATCTAATCTAAAATTAGAATCAATTTTTCAGTGATAAACAATCTTTGTGCAAAATTCACTAAACTCATAGTCACATGTTGTCAATGATCTGATTTCGAGTCGACCTGGGGTCGGCTGAAAATCGGTTAGAAAAAAAATTGATAAAAAATTTTGGCTCGCAATTCGATTAATTTATTTCAATCTAAGCAAAATTCAAATCAATTTTCAAGCAATTAATAATGCTCAAGCTAAACTCACAACCCTAGATGTAATCTAACTAAAATAGGAAAATAATTGGCTAAATTCCTAATTGCTAAAACATGAACACATTCTTCAAAGCAAATGAAAATAAAAACAAAAATGAGGATAACAAGTTACCTTCCTTGGTCGTTTCAAGTAGCAAAGGAGTAGAAGGAGGAGAAAAATGAGAGTTTCCAGTCACTTAAAGCTGTGATCCCGCCACTGCATTCCCAGCTAGCTCCTTTTCTGACTGTATCGTGAGGGATTCAGGGAGAAAGGCGATGGTTTTGGGGAGAATACGAGGGCTTCAGGAGGAGGGTTTCAGGGAGAGGCAATGGTTTTAGGTGGACAAGACGAGGGTCGGGAGAGAAATTAAGGTAAGACTGCGAGGGAGGTGATATCGGACGAGATATAAGATTAGTTTTGATGGCCTATCAACAGCTCTACTTGTGTCGGTTATTAAAACTGTTATTGATGGATGCTGTGTTCGAAGATAATCGGTGAACTATAGCCGGTGATTATTAATAAAATAAGTCAGTTAAAATCCTGCTAGATGCTGTGTTCGAAAATAATCGGTGAACTATAGCCGTCAGTTAATATTTGCTTATAACCGGTGCGTTATTACATTTGTTATAATTAAAAATTGTCGAAAAATAAAATATTGTTGATAAGCGATGATTTATGAGGTAGCTATGTTGTAGTAAATAACTAAGATAAAAAACCGTCGCAAAACCATCAGTAATTAGAACAATATTTCCAACATGTAAAAGTTCTCATTTTTGCCGTCAGTATTAGCACTTTTTTTATGATGTGAAAGTGCTTCAATATCTAATGCTCACTAATGGGTTAAATTTTCATCGATTAGTGCATTCAAGATTGGAGGTTTCGTCAACATATAGAGACACATTTACTAGATATTGTTCCTTCAATTATCTTTTGGTTCATATGGATGACCAAAAACACTTGTAAGCATGAAGAAATGATAATTACAACGGATAAAGTGATTCAAAATATTGTGGCTTTCATAACTAAGGTGGTTGTATTTGGAAACACCAAATAGGGATTCTTTAGAGGTATTACTCAGAGTATGGAGAGGTTAAAAATTATTCCAATCAGAACTCAAGCTAAAAGAAAAATGCATTTGGTCTCTTTGAAATGACCTGTTTCTCCCTGGATTGAAGTCCCTGTTCCGCCGGTGCTGGTGGGGTATTCAAGAATCACATGGAGAGCTATTTAATGTTTTTCCACACACCTTGATTTGCTGATGATGGATTGAAAGTTCAAAGGCTGGCTGTTTTCCTGGATTTAAATATAGTTATCAACTTGAAGTGGAGATTCCTTGTTTGTGAGATTGATTTTTTGCATCTGTTGGGAATTCTAAAGGGGAAGGCTTATACACCTTGGCACCTCATTTGATGGACAAAATTTCTATTTTGACAAAGAAACTTCATGTTTGTGGAATCATACTTTTAGAGAAGGTAACATAGCCGCAAATTGGTTAGCTATGATGGGTGCTACCTCTGGTTTTTTGGCCATTGATTATGATTCTCCCATTCCTTTGAAACCTTTGCTGCATGGGAATGACCTAGTATTTCCTTTTGATAGATGTTAACCCCTATATTTTGTGTTTTGTTTGTTTTTTTAAATGAAAGTAGTTTATAGTTTAGCATAATAATCATTAATTACTCTAGCTATGTCTAGTTTCTCAATTGCAAATCCAAATATAAAACCCACATTACTGCATCACCATTTGCAGACTTTCGTTATATTCGAATTTGCTACAACCTACACAAACGTGTGCTTTTATCAAAGCGAAAGACAAAAAATTTAATAAACATATACATTATTCCGTTTGAATCTTTATTTTACGAAGAAGAAGCAAAACTTCTTTAGCCACAAACCTTTAACAAAATAAATTCGTTAATTCTATCAAGGACTATTCTAAAACTGTAAATGTCAACAAAATCTTTCACATTCACACCAATCTTTTCTCTAATTCGCAGATAATACAATTTAAAGTAATGAATACACAAATCACAATCAGATTTGATACCCTTGAGAGAAAAATCCGTGCCTTATTAAAGTATCAAATTCGAAGAAGCTTAATTCCATCTGAGCCTACCAAAAACACACTTCAATTCATGTAAACCTATTCCCAAGAAAATTCCAGCCACTAACATGCCTTGGCAAATTTCTTCCCCTAATGTTTCGATAGTATCTTGTGCAAGAAGTGGATCTCACAAACCAAAAGTGGCATGACCGCCTCGAATTTTTTTTTCTAGCTTATAATTTTGTCAGCTTTCATCGAAAACAAAATTAGCTAAGTTTGTTAATCATCAAATATCATCAAAACAAAAACAGCACCATAGAGAATTGTTCATAAAATAATCAATACAACAAAAACGAAGGCCGATAAAATGCACAGGAGCTCAATGTACTATATAAAAGATTTCAGAAAAAAATTAACCCAAAACTTAGAACGAAATCAGAAATATGTCTTAGCTTTAATACTAAAGAATAAACAAAAGAAGTTTCTCGTACACAAATGCCCGCATTGGTGGTCGGTGAGTGCTTCGACGTCAGGGTGGTCCCGCAAAATAGGGTTTGAATCAAGTAGAGTGTTACATAGGGCTTGATTAGAGTAGGGGAAAAAAGGCTCAAGTCCTTGTATTGTGCTGGTCCCAGTAGCTCCTTTTGTTTCCACACACACACACACACAGAGTCAAAATAGATTGGCCAAAGGCTATTATGTGAGCCTCCCAACAAACTTCATATGCCTAAGATGAACTGTTTTTTGTGCACTCCATGTAATTTTTTAAAGTTAAGCATAGTTTTTGACGACTGAATCCTCAATCATGAACATAAATCCCAAAGAAATTCCCTTATTTTTAACATTCCATGTATATAAAACAGTAATAATAATAATAATAATTTCTATTTGATCTTTCACTTGGTTACCAGTCGCTGCCTTGTATCCATCTCTGTCCCAAACAAAGCAAAAGCCAACGTCATCTTCACTATAGCAAATATAATCATCATCATGCTTCCCATGTTCCAATCCTCACCATTATTGGACACACGCAGCGCCAATCAGCTTTCCCTGTCTTTTTTTTTTTTTGAAAAAAGAAATCATATCAGAAATGAAAAATATAAATTATGTCAAAATCAAACTTTCAAACCAATATATCTAAAATTTAAATATTTGAAAGAAAACTAAGTATCATCAATGATAAATTTTTTTATGAAGCTTCTAATTTTAAATATATAGTCCTAAAAACATGACCCTTCCATTCCATAATCTCATCCCATCACTCCTCTCATAGTCACAAAACCACTTCTCTCTTGTTCTCTAATGTCCAATCCAACGTCTTCTTCTTCTTCTTCATTATCATCTTCAAAGTCTCTGGTAAGAATTCAGATGGTGCCGAGGCTGGTCTCTGACCAACTCCTCATGAAATTCTCCGATCTGTCTGAGTTCGACTTTGACTATGAGAAGAGCAGCCTCTGGTCGCCACTAGTGCCGCGCAGGGCTTTCATCACTCAACAAGGTTTAATCTGCACCCAAGCTCAGCTTATGGGTAAGCTCCCAATAAGCAGGCAGAACTCTAAGAGAAGGAGGCCCAAATGCTTTCACGTAAGAACGATATCTACATGTGTGCTTCAGACGTTGTTTATTGCAATTCTCAATCTTTTAAAAGAATATTTAAATGATAAATTTTCTCTTACGTTTTAGATTTATATACTTATCATGCATTTATTATGTATCTTAAATCTATGCATGAAAAAATATTTTTCACTTTTAAAAATGAAAATGATGTTATTTTTAATGTGATATTGATGATTTGAATGTTATGTGCCTAATTATGATAGTTTAAGTATGAGATATATAAATACATATGAAGTGATATGTCTGTAAATGTTCTGTATTTATCTTTTGTACAACAGAATGGAAAGTATTTTACAAACCATTGCAATATATTTAACATTATTAATTTACTTTAAGAAGAATAAAATATGTCTAAAGTAAATTACATTTATATTTATATGAAAATAAAGTAATAATATTGAAATTCATTTCACCAAGTTTTATCTGAACATCCTCTCCCTAAATTTTTAAAGTAAGAAACCTTCCAAATTATTTAATTTTTCCTTCAAATTTACTTCAGAATTATAGCATTAGTTTTTCTCCGAATTGGCTGCTTTTGACAGAGTTTGATGTTTGTTTCTGCAGTTTGTGATGAGGTGTTTGTGATCTTTTGTGGTGTTCGAGCCATTGTTTTTTTATCTGTTTTATGGAGCAATTAATTAGTGTGTTGGAGTTATTCTGTACTTTCGGCATTCTTTAATTGAAACTAATTATCTGTTGGTCTCAAAAATGTGTTCATTATATTAATAGCAAGTCTTTTCATCCACTCCCTCCCTTCCCTCTCTCTATTCTTATCTCGGCTTGTGCTTCCAGTTATGACAAAAGCCTCTTCTGTTCATTTTATCTAAGCTTCCGCTACGTCTTAACTGCCACAAAATCAAAGTGATTTTGCAAAAGGCAGACTGGCTAGAAAAAAAGCTTTCGAACCTTGGCAAAAATAGACATGTTGAAAAGAGGAATATGGGAAAGCTTCGCCCCGTGATCATATTTTATTTTTTCTTTGAACATTATGATTATAAATTGGGCAGGCATTATAAAGTGAAAAATGATATTTAGTAAAAATTATAAAAAAATTCCATGATCTTATTATAATTAGTATGGATAATATTAAGGTTAGTCAAAGTTATAAATGGTGACATTAAGATAACCCAATGATTGAAATAAAAAAAAATAATTAGTATTGATAATATTAATATGTTAAGAAAAGTTATTTTGAAGGTTTTTGGGAATTTGTTTTGTGAATGTTGATATACTTGGAGAATATTTAAAAGGGTTGTGTTATAATTTAAAAATTGTGTAAATATAATTGATTACTTCGCTTAAACGAATATTACATCCTATCTCAAGCCTAAACTTTCATTTTTACACACATTGCACTTTACATATTGATGAAAATATGGATTTGACTATTAAATGGTGATATTGACTATTAAATGACTATTAAATGGTGATAATGAGTGCTACTTTTCATATGATGTTTGTAATTATAAAATTTTAAGTGTCAGATACGTAAATATGAAAATTTTTGGCCCGTATGTACAAATAAAATGGGTAGTATAACAAAAAAAAGTTCGGCTTTTAAATTGAATTCTCCTTTTGCTTTCCATGCTCAACGTTATTGAGAGCTTTTTTTTTTTCCTAATTTTGAAGAAATAATTTTATATTGAAAGCATGTTCTCCCAATTCCATTAATAATTCTATGAAATCATAATATAAAAGATTTACTGAGCAATTAATCTAAAAATAATTTTTTTTTATTTTATTATTTTAAAATAAAAAAAATTTATAATTATTTTACTAAAAAACACAAGGTCATTGTAACGTTAAAATTAAAATTGATACAGTTTTGTGGATGATATTTTAAATCCTTCATAAGATGGTATTTTATTTTATTATTTTTTTTTTCAAAAATGAAGCGCAACATATAATGAAATATATTAGGACATAAGAACTAGATATTAGAAAACTAAGATCTAATACATCTCAAATATTAATGAAAATAAAAACATAAAAGGAAATACATAAAAAAACTCTACAAGTATGTTTTACTTCCCTTGGGGTGATTATTAGGAATGGCTCCACTACCTAAACTATAGTTATTTGGAGCATGTCATAATCTACTATATAAATGATAGCGTTGCTCCTCTTTATACTTTAGCACATTCTCATCTTCCATCATCACAGACTACTGGAAAGGAGATGGCATGAATTTTTGCAGCTCTTATGGACTGCTGGAATGGATGATGAGCACCCATAAGCTACTCATGAGAATATTGGGCGGTCATCAACATCTAGAACCACCCCTTACATTATGATGTGAAAAATAATAAAAGTGTAAATGATGGTTGTCTAAGGATGCTCACCAATGTTCCTCCCTGCTATAAATCTTATGGTAGTCATGTCTGATAAGTTGGGAGGGTGGAGGAGGGGTGCGTAGAGCCTTGTATATGGATAATTCGAAAGCAACACAAGTGGATGAACAAGTGTTCACATGAGTCATTATAGTGTCCTTACTGCATGATGTATCTGAGGAGTAAGTTGACCGTCACACTTAACTGCATAGCCCCTTCAGCTTATCAATCACTAAATGCAAAACTTTGACATCGTGACTGCTAAAGAATGACTGGAATAAATTCTCCATCTCCACAATGAACTCATACAATAAAATTGGATTTTATTTAAATTACAATGTTATTAAAAAAAAAACTAAGCAAGCTTTAGTCCAAAAATAAATCAAAATCTGTCATGACTTGTTCGGCCTGAAACCTTAGTTAATAAGTGTTCCGAGTCTTGTGACTCATGGGGGACTAATTTTTTGGTTGTTATGAAGTTGACATGTCCATAAATGTTAGATGATTTTCTAAATACATCTCTATCTCCACCTAGAGCTCCGAGCAATTTTCATGATGTTGACATTTTGATTATCTTCTCTTTCACCCACTCACAATACAATAAAAATACTCATGAACACTCTAGAAACACACTCTCACTTCTCAATATGCTTAAGGATCGCTAATTACACACCGGGTGCTAACTCTTCCTTTCCAAAAATTTTAAACCATTCGTAATGACACATGGACACAAAACCATCACAACTCCCGTAATTTGGTGCTAGGAACCCCGGCCCATGCTTGGAGAATCGACTTTCCAGTCTTAAATTTTCAGTAGCTTATTCGTTAGGATGGCCACTGGGTTTCCTGCATTGGGCGCTTTAGCGCATGGTTGCAGGACCATGTTTTCTCCTTCTCAGTTCTATGCGCATCTTTGAGTTGAGCACTGGATCACGAGGAATTATTGCGTGCGGACACCACATGCATCTCTGCATGCAATGTCCGATCCTGGCCGTAGATCACGGCGATCTACGGTCAGGATTATTTTCATTTTTATATATATAAAAAAAAATTTAGGTGGGGCCCACCAAAATACATCGGGACTGTAGATCAGGTGATGTACTGTCTGGATCAGACACCGCACGCAAGCTGCTTGCGGTGTCCGATCCTTATGAAATAATTTTTCCTGGATCACCTGGGTTGAGCGTTTGGTTGCCCCACAACATGTATTGAGTGTCGCGTTGTCCGACAAAGACTTGGGTAAATTTTCTCCAAATGTTTTGCCTTGTTAACTTACAAACTATAACTTAAAAAAAAAAAAAAAAAAAAGCGAATACACCTCAAAAAACGTAAAAATGTTACAAAGTAGTAAAGAAAAAATAAGAAAACGAAAAATGTCACACATTTCGTAATCATCACATTGCTAAGAAAAAAAATATATTTTTTGCTCATTTATTGGGGATCTGCCCTTTGCATGATTTTTATCATCATACTAACAAAATTGTTATCCTTATCATATTCCTTGGCTAATCAAAGCTTCTTTGGGTAGGCACACAGATTAGTCAGAGACTGCCTTAGACATGGCTTGGGACAAAATCATCGGTCAATATTAGTTACCCATCATAGAATAATATTACAATCAAAATTTGCTCTCAACTTGATGATGTGATCTATGCAAATTAAGAAGTCGAATTAATAGATATTTTGAGAGAATTGATTAATTGTTCGTAAATTATTTTGATGGAAAGACATCTATCGTTTTTGCTTGTCACCTAAATTATATGTACGAAATACATCAAACATCATTTATTATTAATCTCAAGTAGATATAGGGTTTTTAGATTCAATGGCAAGAAAGAGAAAAGTGTCCATAAAATCAACTTTAAGAGTCTTAAAATAATGTAATTAACTTATTCTAAAATAAAAAAAAACAAGAATTAAAATAACCTGTTCAAAAATTCATTTTAACACAAAGCAATTATCAGATCTAGACTTTAATTTATTTAAATTCATTATCTTTTCATATTAATTACTCTTAAATTCAATCTTATATTTTTTAAAATTCATATTTATTCTTGTTTTTTCTTTGACAAGCATCTTAAAAAATGTATTTGGTATATAATTTTATGTTTTTTATTTTATTTTAGGAGAGGATATTATTTAAATCAGTGATTAAAAAATTTTAAGTTTTATTACATTAATACCTTTTTAATTGCTTATTAGTACAAGAAGTAACTTCTATACATTATTAACATGTAAATTATTGATAAACTAAATGACATAATTAGTTATATAGTAACTGAAAATTAATATATTATAATTGTTAACTCTAAGAAATTAAATATCACAATATATATATGTTTCAGCCAGTTATTAAAATAATACCGGATAAATGAATTCTTATTTATTATTGATGGAAAATAAAGTAATTTGCTAATTATTTTTTTAGCAACTAACCACTAACTTATTAACATAGCTAAATTTTAACTTTTACATTTAAATTTCTTCTTACGTGGATACATAAATATAGCTAATACAATTTTTATTTTTTTAGTACATTTTGAGAGAGGATTTTCTTTAAATTATTGATTAAAAAAAGTCAAATTTAGTTACATTAATACATTATTAATCACTTATTATAAAAAGAAGAAACTTTTATATGTTAATCAAATGTAAATTATTGTTAAACCAGATATCATAGTTAGATAATGACAAATAGTTAATATATTATAATATTCTACTCTAATAAATTAAATATCATAATTAGTTTGTGCCATTAGTTGAAACATAACCATGGAATTGAATTTCTTATTTAACATTATTTGAAAATAAAGTAACATGCTAATTAATTTATTAGTAACTAATGAATAACTTATTATTTAACAGTTACATTTAGTTTTTCTAGCTAAATAACATATATACAATTATAAACAAAATTTAATTCTAACAAAACAAACAAAATCCATACATACTTACATACATATATACAAACTGATGCGGGTGCGGGAATCAACCCAGCCAGTTAAACAGGCTGGTTTAGGGACTGGTGATAGCTGTTGTTCGCCGCTTTCACCGTTGTTGTTGTTTTTGTGGAGCCGCCAGTTGGTCTCCCGTCGTATAGCCTCTCTCTTTGAGTAGTTCTCTCTCTGATCGTGTGGATGATCTGATGAGAGAAGAGATTCGGGGGCTAAGGCATATCATGATAGGGACAAACAAAAGAGACATGTGGAGAAGCCTTCATGAAGTGGACTTTGCGTAGATAGCTTTGAAGTTTATTGGTTTAATACACTTCGCAGGTATACCTGTGAAGAAAACTTAA